GCTTCACTAGAGTTGTCCTTTTGGATAATTTATCACCGTTGATAAACCACACAAAGAATATTTAGCTTTTTAAATACCTGGCTACTTGAAATAGACCTGCGAGGAACTGCGACGTGCAAGTAGTTGTCGGCAGCACGGTCCCAAATATAGGCATCAATTCAGTGATTTGCGAATAAAAGTCTGGGCTATTAATCACAGTTATACGGTAATTATGGAACATATTTGTTCGAGGTTCCAGAGACTTGCTGAAGCAGGTGAAGAGGAACTTGTGTACTTATACTGCTTGTTTACTTCAATATAATGGATACCGGATGTAGCAGTGACGTTCTCTCTGAGCAAAAGGTTTCAGACATCTTCACCCCTGATTCTGTTTTAAACGAGCAGAACTTATTGCTTTCAGCCTGTAACTTCTCATGAAACTGGAAGTCTAAGTTGAAAGTGATTTACCTTTGAGCTGAGCGATGATTGGTGCTGAACCCTGACTGAGCAGTGACAGACGAGATTAATCCTCAGACTGCAGAATCCAGCTCCGGCTGCTCTCTCATCAGTCTTTAGGGCCATTTAACACACAAGAGCATTAACCAAGCCTCGCTGCCCCCCGTGATTGATTGATCGCATCCATAAAGCACTTTGAGAGGAGGTCGCTTGTGTCATGTATGCAGCGCCGGTTATCTCAGCCTGTGCCGCGGAGTCGACACTTATTATGCAGACAAAAGCCGAGCGTAGTGTAAAAGAAAGTTAATATGTAATTTTCTGCGGTTTGTTAGCTGACCACAGATCAGTCCTTTAACACTGAGAGAAATTGACAGATCCATCATGTCAGACTGATGCCTCCAGCCTGGAATCACATTACACTGAGTATATTAAAACTTCAGCTGCCGCTCACATAACCATCACAAACAATGTAAACTCAGCGAAAAAAGAAAGATCCTCTCACATTCCGCTGCTTTATTTTCAGCAAACTCAACATGTGCAAATATTGTTTGAACACAAAAAATTCAACAACTAAGACCTAAACTAATTAAGTTTCACTGACATGGGACTAACAGAAATTGAAAGATGTGTCCTGAACAGAGGGAGGTCAGGATCTGATGTGGCCTCCAGCTGCAGAAAGGACTGCAGTGCATCTCCTCCTCATCAGCTGCACCTGATTGGCCAGCTCTTGCTGTGAGATGATATCCCCCCTTCCACCGACTGCACATGCAAGTCCCTCTGGGGAAATGGCCCTCAAGGCTACCGCATGAGGGAGGAGGAGGTCTTCCCTGTAAATCGCAGCGTTAGTCCGACCATCACCCCGGTGAGACAAAACCGCCTCAGTCAAGAGCACTTTTTGCCCGTCCTGTCTGGTCCAGGAAGGAATCCCACTGCCTCTGCTAATATTAAGTTTCACTAATAAAATATTCAGTACAGTAACTTTCAGTCAGCTGACTTGTGTGTGTGTGTGTGTGTGTGTGTGTGTGTGTGACTTCCATCCATCATGTTTTCATGTTTTAACTCTCCCAAGGTCGCTCAGCTGCAAATTTAATTATGTCTCTCTATTACTGGCACATTTAAAAAGTTGGATCGTGGTAATGAAATTTTTTTAGGACAGTTATCACACACACATATTCATACAGGCCACGCCCCCGTTGTCTTCAGGTTGAATGATCAAGATTATTATCCAATAATAACAGTAAAGAGTAAAAATACAATGATTGTCCTGACGGGGGCGCTGTTCACAGGTTTAATAAAGGCAGGAAACAGTCGACCTCACACATTGTGGGTTTTGCGGGCCAAGGGAGTGCAGCGTCGCGTTTGGTGCAATTTGGACACACGACACATTCAGATTAATAAACTTTAAATAAACTACAGTAGAGCGTGAGCCCCTCTGCTCTGCAACAGCGTACGCTCACAGGGGCGGGGCTTATTGCATCTAATGTGGTAGTGAATTGTTGAAACAGAGTTATCGTCATCTCACAGGTTTGACGTACATGTTAGTAAGGCTTGTGGTTCTCGGTACAATTGTTATTATTTTGTTCATTTGCATGTTGAAGTTTATACTATTGTCTTGTATCTTATCATAGTTCTTAGTCCTGCGTTTTAGTTCATGTCCTAGTGTTACTCCTGGAGCCTGCACATGAAGCGAGTTCAAAAACCTCTCCTCCCTTCAAAAATGAGATTAAATTATTTACACACTCAAAAGTGTTCCAGACGTTGTTCTAAATTAACTTGAAGCAATCAAACGAAAAATCCATTGATGCCATTAAATGTGCTCAAGTAGTGGCTGAAAGACAGAATCTCAACATCTAGGCTGCTGAAAACTCACCTCATTACTGCGCCAACATCGCAAAAGGTGACCAGTCTCTGTAGTAGACCTATAAGCTACTAACCTAAAATAAATAGCCTACGTTTCTATTATAATTTAGTATTTCAATATCCCTACAGGCTGTGTGAAATGGACATGGATGGACTGCTGGACAACAGACCGCCATCCATCGCAGGGCCACACATAGACAAACAACCCGTCACACTCACACCTAAGGTCACCAATCAACCTAACCTGTCTTTGGACGGTGGGAGGAAGCTGAAGAGAACCCACGCAGACACTGGGAGAACATGCAAACCCACACAGAAAGGTCTGGCCAAACTGAACCTGCAACTTTCTGCTGTGAGGCGACGGCGCTAACCACTGCACCACCGTGCTGCCCCTTGTGGAGCACGTAAAAAATATAAACTCAACATTTCAGCGCGTTGGTGTTATTAGTTTCTGTCTGCTCCCCTTGATCACTGGCCTGCCTGTCCTCTCCTTGTGTCTCGATCCTTAGTCCTATGTCTCCATGTTAGTGTAGTCCTGTTTGGTCCGGTCTCTGTTCCTGCCCGGTTTGTTCTGTTACGCAGTTGTTCCCTGTTTTACTTTGGTAACTCTGTCCTTGTGTTCCCATACTTCCTGTTTTACTTTTAGTGTTCAGTTCTCATGTGTCCTTGTCTGGCTTTGTTCCTGTTGTTTGATTACCTGATGTGTTCCAGCTGTGCCTCACGCTGTGTATGTTTTAGGATTACCGCCTGTTACCTTGGATTTACTTCACCTCTGGATTCAGCTTTGTTTGGACTCTTTGCCTTGTGCTCTATGGAAGCCTGTGTTAAGTTTTTGTTTAAATAAATATTTTGTTGAACTGGATCCTCCTGCCTGTGTCTGCCTGCATTTGGGTCCACACCTAAGACTGCACTCAGCCTGTCCCATAACACTACGTTAGAAATGAATGTGTTGACACGGAGCATAAATGTCACAAAGTCAGACTTTATTTCGGCTTTGTACACGAGGTTTTCTCAATATGGACACAAAGACTGAACTCTTGGAAGACCGAACTTTGGTGATTTGGACGGGGGAGGCTCAGTTTGTAGCTGGAACAACAGCATCCTGTACGACAGATTAAAAAATAAAGTCCAGTTTAAGAACGATTTGGTCATTTATACGGAAGTACATTAGGTTTTGCTGCGAGGGCTGATGTGTTCTTACAGCTAGTCCTGCTGGCTGGATCACAAAAAGGTATTTCCCAATAAATACACTACAAAAGCTTGAATTCACATGTTGTATAAGGTGGTAATATGCTCATTTCCAGGTTATCATATTATTTAGGGGTTATACCAGAGAAGGTTTATTCCATATTTCTGTCAGACTGCACATTGCTGCAGCTCCTCTGTGTGTTGAACGCTCTGTTTTAGCTACCGAGTGAAGCATCTCACTTCTATTAGATCTTTGTTGGGAGCTGCCCATGCTCAGTACTAGGGCTGGACGATTTGTTTTTTCAAGGACATGGTTCGTACTGTAAATGTGCTCAGCTATTAAAGCTGCGTTAATTTATTCACAGACTTCACAAATCCATTTTCTAAATGTTAATAAGGTGATGTTTGCACATTACATCATCGCCGCTGCTGAATTCTGACTAAACTTTCACTCTAATATTAATATCACTGTGGAACAAATGATTTTCACCCGCACGCTGTGTGAGCACGGTAAATCGCGCTTTGCGAGCTTCCTCTCCTCATTCAAAGGACGTCTTCGTGACAGCTGCTGTTCTAGAGCAGCGGAGGTCTTTTAAACTGCAGTGCAATGCGTTTAGCGACGCGAGCGAGCGGACAAGCGGGTGTGAAAAAGAGCGGCAGGAAGTGATGGAAGTGTAGGTCACTGTGTATGTCATTAAAAGTCTGTCTGTTTCTGCTGGAAAGTGAAGCGGTTAGCGCTGGCTAACATCTCTGCCGCCATGTTGGGTTTTTGCAACCAGTGGCACCGTGGATGTGACCATATTTGGAGAGACGGCCGTGTGTGGAGCTAGCTAGCTTAGCTAGGGGCAT